CCTCGCGTGGCGCGCATGGACATCTCCGAGATGTTCTCAGCGGCATCGCTTGCCACTAAACGCACGCAGACACTTCTTTTCGAGGGGCCGTTTAAAAATACATTCCGCAACTCTCACGCATTTCAACTTAATCCTCTTCCCAGTCTCGTATCTGACATGAGGCATGATCGTATCTTTGTGCTGCCAACATCTTTTCTTTGTTAATTTATTTCTTACTCCGTTTCCAGGAAACATTGTTTTTTGGGTCGAGAATCCAACACCGATCCGGACACCTGCTCGATGACCTCATAGCCATGTGCTGCTGCTGCTCTTCTAACCTCTGACCTCCTGATGTTCCTTTCCTGAGATGTGACATCTGATCATTGCAAGGCTATACTTAACCCCAGGACTGCTTTTGTGACCCACAGTTTGGGAGCTGGCAAAGAATGGACAAAGCTGCAGCCATTTCTGTTCTTCTTGACGGTCAAGTAGCTTGTGCCAAATGCTTAGGAGAGGCCGGCTGATTGCATAGCGTGGGAAACGAATGGAAACTTAATTTTTTTCAAACAGATTGGCTGAGCACAGAGGCAGCCCAAAGACTCAAAACGTCAAGGGGCCAGCAACCAATGGCACTATGAAAGTTATTTAATAGATGAGTTAATGTGTTTCTTGAATTGAGCGAGGTTAATATTATTATTGTACGTGCTTGGGAAGAGAGACGATGGGAGGAGGGAATTCAGGAGTGGAGCGGTGCATGGGAAGAGGAAGAAGAAGTGAGGTGACCTGCAATGTGGGGAGTGAGTGGGTGAGTGAGTGAGGTGGATGAGTGTGTTGGTATATGGGTGAGTCTATGGGTGAGTGAGTTAATGAGTGGGTGAGTGAGTGGCTTAGTGGGTGACTGAGTGGGCTGTTGTGAGCTGCATTGTGCAGGATGAGATGAAACAGTCAGTGTCTGGTAATCTGATTCCTGAACATGGGTGGACAAATCAATGAGCGAAGTTCATGGGGACAGTAACCGTGGTAGGAGTGATGGAAAAGTGATGATGAATCTGTGCCCCTGAATAATTATGTTGACACTCAAATTGTGTGTTGTTAAGAAGGACACATTTTATTGAGTGACAATTTTGGCGTGACGCTATCTGCAATGAATATTTTTGTTGGAAATGATTGCACGACCATACACACTCAGTCTGCCTCCGTTCTGCTCGCGTTGTTTCGGACACAGCGATCTGATGATAGCTCTCTACATATGCCGTCACACTTTTAGCATATACGTTTAAGAGAACACCAAATTTATATTGAGCTAAGACGTAAAACCATGATTAAATTTTATAAAGATTTGTTTAACATTTTCAGTAATAACCCAATCACTACACGCCACTCAAATTCCCAACGCTAATCTGTACAGGTGCACAACAAGTCGGCTTTTTCGTGGCAATTGGACGGAGAAGCAAATGCCTATTTATTTAATTATTTATAACATATAAATAGGATGCCTGCCTAAAACAGATGCAAACGTCTTGAGAAGGCGTCTCTGCAGTAGACGTGACTCATGACAGGGTAGCCAGAGCCTTTGGGAAGCGGTGGGGGGGGGGGGGGGGGGGGATGGCCCTGAGGAGTTCTCAGAGGGAGCTAAGCACACTGGATTTGCGGGATTATCTGATGGAAGGATGTCCAAGAGGGCTGTCGAGAGCCCGGCACTGGAAACCCTTCAGATCTGGCAACTTTCCTCCTTGCCAGATCTGTGGCGCGCGTTCCAGCAGCTCGCATCCCCCGTGGACAGAGGGAAAGCAGAGAGGGCAGAATTCACTTGCGGATATTTTTTCAACAAACTGGATTTGGTTCCAGAGAAGTTTGCGTGGCTTGCTCTGTATAATTGAATAATGTCGTGAAACATTTGTTAAAATGTACACCAGGTTAATTGTTTTGTAAAACTTGATATTTTATTTCCAAACTAATATGGATGTTTCCCTGCTCCAAACACGTCTGCCCAAAAGCAGCGCTGGGGAGAACAGCTGGGGAGAACAGCTGGGGAGAACAGCTGGGGAGAACAGCTGGGGAGAACAGCTGGAGAGAACAGCTGGGGAGAACAGCTGGGGAGAACAGCTGGGGAGAACAGCTGGAGAGAACAGCTGGGGAGAACAGCTGGGGAGAACAGCTGGGGAGAACAGCTGGGGAGAACAGCTGGGGAGAACAGCTGGAGAGAACAGCTGGGGAGAACAGCTGGAGAGAACAGCTGGGGAGAACAGCTGGGGAGAACAGCTGGCGAGAACAGCTGGGGAGAACAGCTGGAGAGAACAGCTGGGGAGAACAGCTGGGGAGAACAGCTGGCGAGAACAGCTGGGGAGAACAGCTGGCGAGAACAGCTGGGGAGAACAGCTGGGGAGAACAGCTGGGGAGAACAGCTGGAGAGAACAGCTGGGGAGAACAGCTGGGGAGAACAGCTGGCGAGAACAGCTGGGGAGAACAGCTGGGGAGAACAGCTGGGGAGAACAGCTGGGGAGAACAGCTGGGGAGAACAGCTGGGGGAGAACAGCTGGGGAGAACAGCTGGGGAGAACAGCTGGGGAGAACAGCTGGCGAGAACAGCTGGGGAGAACAGCTGGCGAGAACAGCTGGGGAGAACAGCTGGAGAGAACAGCTGGCGAGAACAGCTGGGGAGAACAGCTGGGGAGAACAGCTGGGGAGAACAGCTGGGGAGAACAGCTGGAGAGAACAGCTGGGGAGAACAGCTGGGGAGAACAGCTGGGGAGAACAGCTGGGGAGAACAGCTGGGGAGAACAGCTGGAGAGAACAGCTGGGGAGAACAGCTGGGGAGAACAGCTGGGGAGAACAGCTGGGGAGTACAGCTGGGGAGAACAGCTAGGAAGAACAGCTGGGGAGAACAGCTGGGTGGCAGGGCGCTCGCAGATATAGTTCAGGACTCTTTGGAAGGCCTTCCGCATTCCGTGCTCGGCTGTCTCAGTCTAAGCCACTATTAAAGCCAATCACATACCAAATTTATGAATGAGGATTATAATTAGACGTTTATTTCATCTGTATCGTCAATTCCCTTTTTTTATTTGAGAGGATCCTTGCCTGTAAGCATCGGGAAGTTCACCAGCATTTGGTTTGGACGTGCCTGGCTCTGCTGATGAGACGCTGCATGTCGAAATCACTCCAGAGTTTTGCTTGAATCGAATCAATTCTGCTGACAAAATGCACTCGGCGAGGGCTGTGGAGAGACGTGTACGGGAAGGGGACGGCTATTTTATTGTGATTGCGTGACTCCACGCATGCTTGACGGAGCGGCGTTCTACTCCAAAGTGCTATGCACGCTGGCAGTGGCTTTGTTTGCGTGGATTCCCCCTTGTTTGGATTTTGTTGTAATACTTGTGCAGTACAAGCAGGTGGCTTCCATTATCGCGACTTTTCGAATCTGTTGGATTTTATTCACACGCAGATGACGTGAAATGCTTGTACAAATGCACGCACCATGTTAGTTTATACGCTTATTACTTGTGAAGGGTTTTGGTTACTCGCACTCTTGGCTATTACTCATTTTGGCAAGGGGACATTTTTTTAAAATATTCAACTGGAAATGAGTGGAGCCTGCGATCTCCTTCCTCGTTCCCGAATACCGTCCCTCGCGCAGCGAGCAACATTTCATGAGAATGCTCAGCTCGGCTCAGCTCAGCAATTCGGAGATAAAAATCACAAAGTATCCTTTATTAAATAACCTGCAACTTTTCCTAATATCTCAAACCACCACCGGCTGAACTTTTCCATTTTGTATGGGCTTTAGTCGTGTGCTTTTAGTCGTGTGGAGGAGCGGTCTCCAGGCTGCCGCTCGTTCACGCCACGCTCTCGAGCCCGGATAGGGAGATGGAAAGAGGGAGATGGAGAGAGGGAGATGGAGAGAAAAACGGAGAGAGGGACACTATGTTGTTGTTGTTGTTTTTTTTTTTTTAACCCGCTCTGCAGCCACTTTATTTCTAAGTTGCTTTTGAAACATTTTAGGGAGTTGCCAAGGCGATTAAATCACGATGCCTCAATTGGCAAACAACGATGAATTGGGGTGGTAACTCATTCAATGTGTCCCCTTCAACGTATCGGCTGGCGAGTGTTGAGGTGCTTTATGCGCACATTAGGTCCTGAGATGTGTCTTTCGTGACTGTAACTCAATAATCATGCAATTGTGTAAGCAGATTAGATGTCAACGGCCATATTCACGAGCATTGCTTTCACATTTATGGGTTCAAGCTGCTTTAAGAATACACATTGTGGTGTGCGTGCGTGTCTATCGTGGCGATCTGTACTTTGCAGTGTCTATAAATAACCTGATTTAGACATTTAGTTCACTGTCATTGAACAGTAATTTTATGAAATGTAACCTTCTGTTGAATGTGTGAAACGCCACAAGCCAGTGTGGTTTGAACTATTTGAAATGTGCCTTGATAAGATCAGAGGTGGAGAGAGAGGCTAGCTCTACCGCTCGCCCCACTGCTCGCTCCACCGCTGGGCCACCGCTTGCTCCATCACTGGGCCACCGCTCGCTCCACCACTGGGCCACAGCTCGCTCCATCGTTTGCTCCACTGCTCGCTCCACCGCTCGCTCCATCGTTTGCTCCACCACTCGCTCCACTGCTCGCTCCACCGCTGGGCCACAGCTCGCTCCACCGCATGCTCCACCGCTCGCTCCACCGCTTGCTCCACCGCTCGCTCCACCGTTGGGGCCACAGCTCGCTCCACCGCACGCTCCACCGCATGCTTCACCACTGGGCCACTGCTCGCTCCACCGCTCGCTCCACTGCTCGCTCCACCGCTCACTCCACTGCTCGCTCCACCGCTGGGCCACAGCTTGTTCCACCGCTCGCTCCACCGTTCACTCCACCGCTGCGAATCACGCGTAGCTGAGAGCAACGCCGGCACGGAAGCGTTGTGTTTGTGTCCCGCTTGTGTTTGGTTTGTGCTTAATTTGCGTCTGGTTTGTGTTCGCTTTGAACGTTTGTCCGTGCACGCCCGTGCCGGCGGGATGCGCAGCGTGTGACTGCCACCCGGTTGGCGCGGCGGGCAAGACGTGCAACCAGACGACGGGGCAGTGCCCCTGCAAGGACGGCGTCACGGGGAACACGTGCAACCGCTGTGCCAAGGGCTTCCAGCAGAGCCGCTCGCACATCGCGCCCTGCATAAGTACGTGCACACGCGCGCACACGCAAACGCACACATGCACGTGCACAAACATAAAGAGACAAAGATCCCCTGTATTGCCTTAACAGACTGTTGGGGTAAGTGCTGTTAGTGAGCACCTTTTGAAGGGGGTGCGTTACCAGCACCACTCCCGGCCGCCTTTGTCTCCCCAGTGGCAATGTTCACACATCGCACAAGGTACTCATTTAAAGCTGAGTCGACCTAGGGTTAGGCCCAGGACCAGTTCAGATAATCATCACTGGTGTTTGCCGTGAGTGGGAATCAAACTCGGGTCACTGGGTCCTTAGCAGAGTGCGTTTAATTTCAGAGACGTTTGTCAGGCAGCCGCGGTCTATTATCAAAACTGCGTAGCATACAGCAATCGAGGTCAACACAGCAATACCGATACCAGTTCACGGTACAATGCAATTTCTTAGCAACAGCGGTAGGTTTCATGACTTAGGATGTTTCCAACAGTTTTACAAGAAACTTCTACAAAACATCATCGGCTATGTTCTTCAAACTTACAGGGAATAATATAGATACATATCGTATGATGATAACAACAGAACCCCACATTGTCTCATTCTGATGTCACATTCTTGGCGTCTCTGGAGGGTCTCACATTGGAGGTCCTGTGAGTGGTGAGCGGTGCTCAGGACGGTCGCCCTAGTCATCGTTCATCCGAACTTTTAGTGGGAGAGTCGCCTCCCAGTCCCGTGGGGGAAGCAGGAGTTATTGAGGCTGACTTCGTCGGCTTGTCCTGCAGGACGCTTTTTCTTCTTCTTCTTCTGCTGATTAAAGGACTTTAGTATCTGTTTGCATGCCAAGCAAAACAAGATCTGTCATGGATTGACATTCACAGACAGAAACCCACATCTCTCTTTAATCCCCAATGGTGCAAAGCCCCAATATATAAGGGTTTTTTTATTCTTTCCTTATTTTCTCTTGGAATAAAAAAAAACTACTTGAAATCACTCATGCGTTCTTTTACAATAGCAGCTTTAAAGTGCAAGGCCAGAGGACCACTTGAAACCAAGGCATACTTCATATAATAATTATCATTTTTGTTGTATTACATAACCTTATTCGTACAAATTGCAAAACTCATTGCAAGACTCAAAGTTTGTAACGCACACATGGGTATAGTATGCATCGAGGGCTCCGCACTTCCGATACGTCCGGTGCAAAATAAGTTCAACATACATGGGGTAGTAATGGGACACGTCGTCGCTTTAATAAAAAAAAGACTAAATTACGTGTAGCTCATTCTAAATGACGGTGGGATGTTGTGCAATCAGCAACGAGTGGGTAAATGTAAACAATTCCCAAGCCCCACGATCTCACCTGAGCCGCAACACCACAGCGCTGGGTCACCGTGGCATGGGCCTCAGTTGGGGCGTGTGGACGCGTTGTGAATTAATCCGCTGTGTGGTGGACATCCGGCCCGTCCGTGCTGACCTTCCCGCCGAGACGATCTGCTGGGTTGTGTCTCGCGCTGAGCAGTGCTCGGAGGTGATGGTTCATAACTGGGACGCTTTAAATGCATTCTATGGTGGAACAGTGGCACCTCAGTTCGCGCGTTGCGCTACGAAACCGAGGGATGTGCCAGCAATGGCCAGCGTGAAGTATAGCCAAACAACCCCCATGACGGGGAGACCGTAATCTGTACAGGAAATACAATTCCTCATTGCCTTTGGTGAATGGACTTTCGTGATAAAATATGTACAAATATGTAAGCAAAAAAAAAAACCTCGTGTGTCAATGTCGTTTTTTGCGCGGTGATGATGAGTGTTTTAGTGAAGTAGACATCGCTGGCCCCCCTGATGTGTAAACATCGCCTGGGCCAGCGGACGGCAACCGGGGCTCATGCCCACGGTGCTGACGCTGACGTCTGCGTGCGTCTCTCTGCTGCAGAGATCCCCGTGGTTCCGCCCACGAGTCCCACGGTCAGCATCGACTCCACAGGTGAGCGCAACAGGGCCAACCAACGCACGGCAACTGGCACCAGACATGGACAAACGAAGTGGGAACACTGCTGTCAACCTGGTGTGCGGCGCACATTGTTCCTATCCCATTGCTCTTGATGTACAGCAGTCAGGGTGATTGATGATACAGAACTTTTGGAATCACTGCAACAGGGGTGAGTCGTCTCATTATCACTCTTCCACGGTTACCGTTCCCATGAACTTCACTCGTTGATTCCTCCACCGCCATAGGACAGCCACTGTCCATCTTCCCCCACAAAGTGGTGCTCGTTTCATTGGCTCCAGAGGGCTAATGGGCTGAATCAATCCCCTCCCCCACCCAAGCCAGGGATTGAACTGGCCCGTGAACGATTATTGTTGAGTGTAAGGTACACGACGAAACCAGGAACACTGTGTACACGCTGCGCACTCTAAGGCTGCGTGCCCGAAGAGCCGGCATCGTTTTGCAATCAGAAGCAGTGGTGCATCAGGTGCGGTAGGCACCCTTGGCCCGCACCGGTAAGAGCCGTTGGATAAAATCGCGAGCCAAGTAGGCCAAGGCTGTGCATCGGCCAGAGCAGCTTCGTTCCAACGCGCAAGGGGCGGCCCGTGTCCAGTTCACAACCCACACCGAGGGGCAATCATCCCTCTGGGGTCGATAAAATTAGCACCACTTTGTGTAGAAGTCAACAGTGGCTGTGCTAGAAAGAAACACGATCCCCGCCAAAGGAAAGTGGCTCAGAGCTCTTAAGTGGCAGATGAGTACCGACTCAATGTTCGTCTGAGAGGAGGGAATCGCTTTGATGGTGAAAACAAAGACTCCAAAGGTTGAGGCCTAACGCAGGGTTTGGTAAGAGCTGTCCAGGCCGCGTGTCCTGACGTTGTGAGGCACGAGAGCGACACGGCGTTGTTCCGCGTGCGAGGAGCCTCCACGTGCAAAGGACAATTTGCACGTTGGCCCATGGGACACAGCACAGGAATGTCAGGGCACGTCCGAAATGGGAACGGTTTAAACGTGGAATTAAGAGGCCAGATAAGCGTGCCGGTAATGTCTTCGTAAATGCTTTAATCACAACGTTCGAACGTATTTATGTTGGACTTCTTTCGCACCGTACATGACCAACCGTGCTCATCGGCCAGTGTGTCTCTCTATATGGATGACGGTCGGTGGGCACTTTGACTAAACAGAGAACAATGTCTGTGCCTGTTTGGGATGTGAAATGCTCCGAAGCAAACGGATCCAATAGCGGTCGTTTATTGCTCAGTTTAACACGTAGGATTTCGCGACCAATAACATCCATAATACAGGTTTTTTTGGATTAGATCGTATAAATATATGTGTAGTTAAACCCGCCATCATCCGACACAGCCATTTAGTCAGGATTTGTCACGTAAACAGAACATGCCAATTCGTTACTAATCTGGCTGCTGTTGCCTGATGAAGCTAGTTGTAATTACTGGCGAAACGTCGTACTCAGATTGTAAATGTTGTGGCTTGGCTCTCCAACACACCAGTGTGCTGTACTAGTGACGAATTGGCCACGTTCTGTTTACGTGACAACCCTTACTAGTTGGCTGTGTCGGGTGGTGGTGGGTTTTAACGACACATTTATATATTTACGCGATCTAACCCAAAAAACAACCTGTATTTTGGACGTTTATTACTTATAGTGCGTACTTTAACTTCAGCAGGAGGTGTTGCAGTGGGTCCAGGCCTCGTGGTCCCCCCCCCTCCCCCGATTACCCCCCCCCCCCCGCCGCCCACCCTGCACACCCTTCCTCCTGCTGCTGCCTCTTGTTTTTCTTTAAATTAGCTCTCGATTTCGATCTGTTACATCTTATTTCAGACACCGCAAACCACGCCGTGCCATCATGTCGTTAAAATACCGATACTATCTCTGTTCGGGGTGGGGGGAGTGGAGCGGTGGTACAGCGGTTAGCTCACCGCGTTATGACCCCGGCGACCTGAGTTCGATTGCTGGCCCAGGCTCGTAACGATCAGTGGCGAGCAGTATCCGAACCCATTCTGGTCTCTTCACCAAAACTGTACTGATCAGGGTGGTGAAGTATGGTCAAATAACCCCGTGACCGACACGGTGTAGGGAGACCGTCATCCAGCAGTGGATTGACAGAGAGGCAGTAGGCATATGGTGGTGTAACCGGTTGAGCGATTGGTATGGCTTGACGAGCTGAGTACTGGATCCGTAGGAGAGGTTCAGGTGCAGTGCTGCGTCTCTCGACTGACGCTGCTGCTGGCCGCACTGCCTCCACTCGAGGGAGCTCTGGGGAGCCCCGCTATGGGACACTTGGCCTACTCTTCCCGGCTAATGAACGACGTGCAACATTAAATTAAATGAAAGGTGATCCCCGAATAGTGCTCTCTTACCAGCGTGCGTGCGAGCTAGCGAGCGAGCGAGCGTCTTGGTGCGTGCCCGGAACCGAGTCTGATTTGCGTCGAGATCCTCGCGGTTCTGCTCGTTGTTGAAAACCACCCTGCTGGGACATGTCAGACACAATGTTTCTCTCTCTCTCTCTCTTCCCTCTCTCTCTCTCTCCCTCTCTGTCTTGAATGGACGAACGCAGCGAACGGATAACATCAGGGGACACTTATTTCTCTCCAGAACAAAACCGTTTCAGTTTCCTACGCTGCTGTTGTCGGTTGAAACGCGGTCCGCTCACTTTGATGATTTGTAAAACAGATAGAGGCAAATTTGGATTTGAGAGTGTACAACTGCGTGGGGCTTGAAGCATCAGGAGCACTTACAAGCACTGTGATTTGCAGTAGGTTTATTTTTTATGTGTTATCGTGTACCCTGAGGACACAATGTGTCTCTGAACTGTGTTTTTATTATTATTATCATGGCTAATGTGTAAGTTGCAGCATGCCATAGGTGAAGCTAGGAATATGTGCAGCGATCTTCCCCTAGACTGGGAATATTTTACTTAGCCATGGAATGAGCAGATACAATCCCATGAAAAACGAGAGATCCCGACAATTTTACAGGATGCCCTGCAGTGATGATATGCAGCTAATTTATATTTACTTGCCAGAGAATTCTCGATACAGGAGTTGTTAGAGTTGGTGGATGGCATGGCCGCCCCTCACTGTGTGGGCAGACACACATCACGTGTGTGTGCTGTGTGTGTGTGTCAATCAACACTCTGACACCCTTGCAAACGAGATGATCCATCTCAATGGAATTTACAGGGACTGATTATACAACGGTAAGTAAATAGTCATCGCTGAGCACAAATATTTTGACCTGCTTTCATACCTGATCGGAATCTTGCACTCGACAACTATCAGAAAAATCAACATCCAGAGGTGGGAAGTTCTGATTGAGTTCACATGGAATGACCCAATGTACATTTATAAATGTGCATAAATTGGCATCATTGTTCTATTTTCATAAATTATGCAAATGCTAAATTTTGACTTAAAGCTTTCGTGACTGCAGGAATTCATATTCTTTGGGTCTTTCGGGAAATAAATAAAATAAACGAAAAAAATACGACGTTTCGATCACAACACAAGCAATCTGACGATCAGGTGGAAAAAAAAATAATTGCCGGCTGCAAATGCAGCCGGGCAATATCAAGACGCATCATACGCTGCGAATGGGAGTTTTAAAGCACGTAGCCGAGTGCAAGGTTTGGCGGCGGGAGTTGATGTCAGAGATTCCGCGCCACCGATGATGCCAAAGCGTCCTGAACGTATGGTCGGTTTCCGCTGCGCTTTGCTCTAACGACCACCCACGAGTTATTGACATGACTCTCGCAAGATTAACGCAACGTTACTAAACCACTGCTTTTCTTTGCTCCGAATGCGTCTTGAAATAAATACAAATATATATATTTAACAGGCGTCGTCGCTGTACTGACTTTGGCAGCAGCCGGAGAGCGTTGGTACCCGTGGCGAATCACTTGCGGTGGCGATACCTGCCACTCCTGTTGGACATCTGTGAAAAATAGATTTTAAAGCTCATCAGATTCCTCGACGCTTCCTACTTGGCGTCCGAGTAGTAAAGTCGCGTCTTTGTTCTTCAGATTTACGTTTTCCCAGGGATTACATTTTCACAAGATATGCAATCATTTCTTAATGTAAAAAAATTACAGGTGCACGTTTTCAAGAGTAGATTAAAACCATCGCTGAGAATGAGTGGATGTGTGTTGTTGCCTCTGATGGGGGCGTGACGTCGTTCAGGGCAAAGCCTCGATTTGGCAATGGTGGTACGAAGAGAGAGAGAGAGACTCCCGATGCCTTCCCGACATCCAGATCCAAACGAGTGTCCCCAGCGTGAACCTGAAAACCGCCCTGCTTCAACATTCGTAGATTCGGAGCATTTCCTGTAAACTCGTTGTGAATGTCCGCGTTAGGTATTTTAGTCCGTCCTGCGTGTTTGTGAGGACGTGCGTGAGAGTGAATTACGTGGGAGTGTGTACACATACTCGTTTGTGTGTACAATCCTCGGGCTTGTGTGTGCTCGAGTGCATATGTGCACGCGAGAGTGTGTGTGGGGAGCGGTAGTGCAGCGGTTAGCGCTATGCTGTGCTATGAACCCGGCGACCTGGGTTCGATTCCCGCACACGGCCAACACGCAGTGACAATTAACTGAACCGGTCCTGGGCCTCCCATATTTCGACTCAGCCTCAAATGAGTACCTGGTGCGGTGTGTAAAACATCGCCACTGGGGAGACAAAGGCGGTCAGGCGTGGTGCTAGCCACCCACCCCCTCGTGTGCCGTTCCGGCCTTTATAGGTGCTCACTAACGGCACTTGCCCCAACAGTCTGTTAAGGCTATACGGAGGATCTTTGTCTTTGTAGGGTCGCGCTGGGGTTCGCACTCCACTGCCCTATGAACCTGGCTGCGCGAGTGTTTCCTGCTCATAGGCAACATCAGCGGCGAATATATGAACCGGTCCTGAGCTCTCCCTTATGTCGACGCATCCTTCAATGAGTAATCGGCACGGTGTGTGAAACATCACCACTGGAAAGGCCAA